CGGGTCTTGGTAGATTTGCAGTGGTCTGATACTCCTTCCATTTCAATATGATTGCTTGCACAGTGCTCCTTGGGATGTTTAAAGCTTGGGAAATCTTTTTGTATCCAAATCCGGCTTTAAACTTCTCCACAACAGTATCTCGGACCTGCCTGGTGTGTTCCTTGGTCTTCATGATGCTCTCTGCGCTTTGAACAGAACCCTGAGACTATCACAGAGCAGGTGCATGTATACGGAGACTAGATTACACACAGGTGGACTCTATTTATCATCATCAGTCATTTGAGACAACATTGGATCATTCATAGATCCTCACTGAACTTCTGGAGTGAGTTTGCTGCACTGAAAGTAAAGGGGCCGAATAATATTGCACACCCCACTTTTAAGTTTTTTATTTGTTAAAAAAGTTTAACACATCCAATGAATTTCATTCCACTTCAACATTGTGTCCCACTTGTTGTTGATTCTTCACAAAAAAAATCAAATTTTATGCCTTTATGTTTGAAGCCTGAAATGTGGCAAAAAGTTGAAAAGTTCAAGGGGGCCGAATACTTTCGCAAGGCACTGTATCACAGCATGTAACATAGCAGAGTTACACTTAAAGATGACAGGAAGTACAGTACTGTGGCATGTGTATATGGCAATTACTCCTAATAACTCATTATACTGTAAAACATCCTGATGCATGCTCAATAATCCAGGTAGAAAAATCCAAAAAAGTTCAATCTGGTCCTCTGGACATTAAAAAAAAAACATCATCAGGCCAGGACTCTGCGGTCTACACTCATCTCCAGGCCAGCGGTCACTCTTTCAAGGATGAAGATGTTCACATCCTGGACAGAGAGGAACGATGGTTTGAGAGAGGAGTAAAGGAGGCCATCTTTGTGAAAAGAAATCGTCCATCATTAAACAGGGGTGGAGGCCTACGTGTTCAACTGTCCCCCTCTTACAATGCTGTGATTGCTAGTATCACTCAGCCCCCTGTGAATAGTAAACAGCCATCAGTGTGCTAATGATCCATTGTTAGGCTGATGGTCCTTCTTGACCATGTGATCAGCTGGTTTTGGTTGTCAGCAGCAAACTGGTTGATCCACTCTGAGAAGGTGCTGTTTAAGAGACTGAGCTGAAAACAGCACCTCAGACTGAGGAAGTCTCTCGGATGAGAGACGAAACGTTTCTACATTTTTTTGCTTTGTTTTGTTTTTTGGGTTTTTTTGAATGTCCAGAGGACCAGATTGAACTTTTTTGGATACTGTAAAACATTAAATGGTAAATGAACTGTACTTATATAGCACTTTTCTATCGTTTCAAGATACTCAAAGCACTTTACACTACAATCTGTGCCCTCTTTTACCCATTCATCCAGCACTCTACAATTTCTGTACAAAGAATAATCAGAGCTTTATCACATTCGTACACCAATGGGGCACACATAAGAGGCAATGAGGGGTTCAGTGTCTTGCCCAGGGACACTTTGGCATGTGACTGCTGGTGGAATCGAACCCTCAACTCGTGCTTTGGAGGACGACTGGTCTACCCACTCAGCCACAGCCGCCCCTTTATCATTAGATACTAAGAAGTCACCATAACCGATAAGTACAGATACATGTTACATACAGTGCAGAGAAAGAACATGAACTCAATGACACTAGAACGCTAACATTAATACATGTAAATTATTAACATGTCAAAATCTCAGAAAGATCATCTTTAATCACTCAGAGTTCAAATTCCCTGAGTTTTCCCTGACTGAAAAATGTGAATCATTTTTCAAGTTTTCCCCAATTTCCAGAGTCACTGGGAACTCTGTTTAATCACTAATTTCATGCTTGTAAAATATATTTTTTTCTTATCTCCATTTATCTATGCATGTAAGAAACTTCTACAAAATACTTTAAACTTTTAAAGATTTACATTTCCAAAAGTAAATCTGAACAACTAACTGACAAAAACCAAGAAACTAAACTAAAATCAATGAGCAATAAAATCAGTGCCACAACGATTGGTGAATATTAGAAATATATTATAAAATGTCTTGTCAAGACAGAGTCTGGTTAATGTGTCAAATAGTTACTGATGCGTCTAAAAATATTTTAGATGCATATTCATATTCATATTTTTTATTCAGTATTTTGATTTTTTTAAATAAATTAAAATCCAAGGTAATAATTAGCAATAATGAACACTAATATTTTCAGATTGTTAGGTTTTTATATGGTGAAACCATGTGTTGGGTCTTTGCTTTCTCTAAGACTTTTTAAATTCAAGTTAAATCTGTATAAATATATTTTAGCATCAGATTAACTCTTTTCTGTTGTTTAGTATTATAAAATGGCTGTTATTTGAAAAATACAAAAGAAATCAACACATTCATAATATGAAACAATTAATTTATATTAGAAATAGTTTTTTTTCCTGTTAGATTGTATCTATCAAACTGTTAATAATGGTGTACTACAAGGCTCAGTATTAGGATCCACTCTCTTTACAATCTACCTAACAGGTCTCTCTTGTAAAAGAGTCCTCGTGACTTAATGAGACTATAACGGTTGAATGAATCTGAAGGATGAGGTTCACTAAGGAGGATCTTGGAAACAATGATGACTTCATGTGTCTTAATTTGTGCACACATTTGATTTGATGTGGAAAAAGCTACAAACTTAATCTGATTGCTTTTTGAACTATAGCATCAGCACAGAGACAACAAGTTAAAATCAAGTCCTTGTAGACCCTGGACTGTATTTTGCTTTGAACTCACAAATTTATCATATGGCTCAAATATTTTTTGCACCGATTCTGTTCATAACTTTTATGGATAGAATTTCTCAGTACAGCCAGGGCCCGGAGGGATTCCAGTTTGGTAGCCTCAGGATTCCATCTCTGCTCTTTGCAGATGATGTGGTCCTTTTGGCATCATCATGCCGTGATCTTCAGCTCTCACTAAAGCGGTTCAAGCGGTTAAAGAGGAGTGTGAAGTGGCTGGGATGAGAATCAGCACCTCCAAATCTGAGGCCATGGTCCTCAGTCAGAAAAAGGTGAATTATTCTCTTCAGGTCGAGGGTGAGGTTCTGCCTCAAGTGAAGGAGTTCAAGTACCTCAGGGTTTTGTAAATATAAAATAAATATGACTTGACTTTGTTCATAAGTGAGGGAAGAATGGAGCGTGAGATTGAAAGATGGATAGATCCAGCGTCTGCAGTATTGCAGAGTCTGTACCGGTCCATTGTGGTGAAGAGGGAACTGAGCTGTATGGCGAATCTATATCTCTGTTTACCTGTCAGTCCATGTTCTTACCCTGACATATGGTCACAAACTCTGGGTAGTGACCGAAAGAATGAGATCGCGGATACAGGCGGTTGAAATGAGTTTCCTCCACAGGGTAGCTGGACTCTCCCTTAGAGACAGGGTGAGAAGTTCAGTTATCTGGGAGGGACTCGGAGTAGAACCACTGCTCCTCCACATCGAGATGACAGAGTTGAGGTGATTCAAGCATCTAGTAAGGATGCTCCCTGGGCACCACCCTAGGGAGGTGCTTCGTGCATGTCTGACTGGGAGAAGATCCCGGGGAAGACCCAGAACATGCTGGAGAGACTATGTCTCTCGATTGGCCTGGGAGCGCCCTGAAATCCTCCCAGAAGAGCAGAAAGAGGTGACTGTGGAAAGAGATATCCGGACCTCCCTGCTCAAGCTGCTGCCCCCACGACCCGACTTCAGAACAAGCGGAAGATAATGGATGGATGAATCAAACATTTTTTGTGTTTTGTTAATGCACATCACTGTATTTGGTCTGTTTCTTGCTCTGAGGCCTCCTCGTCCAAAGAAATAGAATTCAATAGGCATTTAATTTTGATTTGTACATAACATAAATACATATAATACCAATTATTGCAGAAAATGGGAAGCCTGCAGGAAAATGTTACCATGTGAGTCTTGTGCTGTGGTACTGCAGCAATAAAATCAGTTGAGAACTACAACACATAAACCATTTGCACAAATGTGTTTGTATTTTAAATCTACTGTGAGACACATCTGTCAGATTCAGTAAACAAATTCTTATCCAGATTTTCTTCTTCTTCCTAAAACCCCTTGTGCTTCTATTAAACTACATGTTATTAACAAATGCAGGTAAATGAAGATTATTTTGTTGATAATGGAGTAGTTTTCAGCTTACTGTAGAACCAGATGTGGAGGGAGGAATCGATGGTACGGGGGCATTTAAAGCACGTGAGGCTTTGCTCAGTCTAACTCTAGGGAGCCAATGAGAGTCCAGGATGCGTGAGCCTCCTCTTGCCACTAAACACTAACATATGGGCCTTAAATGTTTCTAGAAAATTGAGCTGTAACTCTATCCCTGCACAAACAAAGAGCTTTACTGCATCTTACAATGCATTAAATTAGTCAAAAATTAACAATTATGTTCCATTTATTTGTTCAACTGTGAAGCCACACTAAATTACAGTCATTTAGATTGTTTTATAAGATTAAAAAATATTTAATGAACTCCAACCATGTTCTCAGTCAGGTCATCTGGACAGTTTCTTTAATTTTGTTGAGAGACGTTTCGCCCTCCATCCGAAGGGCTTCATCAGTCTGAGGAGTCACAAACAAACTGTAAGAGTGTACTGCTTAGTTGGGAAAACAGTTTGTTTGTGACTCCTCAGATTGATGAAGCCCTTCGGATAGAGGGTGAAACGTCTCTCAACAAAATTAAAGAAACTGTCCAGATGACCTGATTGAACATGGTTGATTATTTTACCTGGATTATTGAGCATGAACCTTGATGTATTAATGAAATCTAAGGTCATGTGTATTTGGTGATATTTATTTTCCTGTAAGCATCAAGCTGTACAGGATCACTGTGATAACTGTAGATGATAAAGTTTGTCCAATCCTGTGGTGGCCAATCCTGCTTTCTATGTAATTACAGTATAACAGAAAACATGCAGCGAGCATCCCCACTCTCTCCTCCACCAATACCAGCTCCTCACTGGTGGGAGTGGGTTTGAGGACTAGTTCGCTCGCCTTTTAAATTCAGACGTTCACAGCAGGTTTCATTCTGACAGCCGGGACAGGTCGACGACAAGCAACATGGTGAGTTATTTATTCACAACGGCTGCTCTTTTTTGATTTCTAATGAATAAGCATGTGTTTATTTTTGTTTATTACAGACAACTTACACAGACAAAGGCGAAAAGGTAAAAAAAAACTGAACATAGGAGGTCACTACAAGGCTAAAAGCAGGTTTTAACAGTGTTTATTTGTTCCATTGAAGAATTTCTAAGAGAGAAATGATTGATCAGTGATCTACTTTTTCTTTTTGTCTTCAGCACGAGCAGGGCAGGTTCCTCTGCTTTGATCATATCACCTTCTGGGTTGGAAATGCAAAGCAGGTAATTTGTGTCTTCCTCTTAACATTTTAGGGGGCTATCTGATGCTAATGGCGCTCCTGAAAGATGACATTTAATATCAAAGCTCTGTATAATATTTTTTGCCACTTTCAGGAGCAGCTCCTGTTACCAGGAGATGGAGCTAGCACACAGATTGTAATGAATGATTTTTCTCCATTATCTCCCACAGGCTGCATCGTTTTATTGCAACAAGCTTGGGTTTGAGCCCTTGGCTTACCGAGGTCTGGAGACAGGCAGCCGTGATGTGGTGTCCCACGCAGTCAAACAAGGAAAGGTAAAACAAAAAAAAAAACACATTCCTGGCCCGGAGCTTGAAGAAAACAGCATGACTCATCTGTAAGAAAATTAAAAAGAGTCAGTCGTAGTTTCACAATTTTTCAATGCAGCAATTATATCAGATACTGTTCCAGCTTTGATGCTGATTTCATGAGCATTTATTCATTAAATTATTTTCAACTCAATATACAGCTGTTCTTATTGAAAAAAAAAAGATTAATTTGTCATAGTACCAGCACAAGCTTCCATTAAACATTTGCACCAAACAAAATTGTTAATTGAAATGTGTTTTAAATTGCTCCTGTTTTTTTCTGTATTTCCAGATCATTTATGTGTTTTCATCAGCTCTCAATCCTGGAAACAAAGGTACGGTACTGATAAGGAGTAGGAATACACATACGGTTAAAAATAACATAGTTTCTGTCAGGGTTTTTTACTGCGTTTCACAGCTTTTCACAACTCTAATTATTTGATATACACAAGAAAATTATGGTTAGAGGTTTGACAGTTTTATTTGACAATTATTATCTGACAGTGGGCGGCTGTGGCTGAGTGGTTAGAGCAGTCGTCCTCCCAACGCAAGAGTTGGGGGTTTGATTCCACCAACAGTCACATGTTGAAGTGTCCCTGGGCAAGACACTGAACCCCTCATTGCCTCCGATGTGTGTCCCATCAGTGTATGAATGTGGTAAAGCACTGATTAATCTTTGTATAGATCTAGTAGAGTGCTGTATGAATGGGTAAATGAGGGAACAGATTGTGTTGTAAAGCACTTTGAGTATCTTGATCAGATAGAAAGGTGCTATATAAGTACAGTCCATTTACCATTTTATTCCCACAAAATGAGGTTTAGCCAGAAAGAAAGCCTGAAAACTTTTGTTCTGAAGTGGTTAAAATCCCCCTCTAATCAAGCTGCCTATTGATCTAAAAAAAAAACAGATATAACCAAGTGTTTGAAGTTAAAAACGTAAAAATTAAAATATATAAGACTGAACAAGTGTATTTTTCTCAGAGATGGGGGATCATTTGGTGAAGCATGGAGACGGAGTAAAAGATATTGCATTTACAGTGGAGGACTGCGACTTCCTGGTTCAGGTAATGCTACACGTTTCGTTCTGCAGAAATTTAAGCTTCGCTTAAGAAAATCAAACTTTTTCAAAAGTTCAATAAATAATTTAAAACTAAATTGACGAAATTCATCTTTTTGTCCTGACACAGAAAGCCCGTGAGCGAGGGGCAGTCATCATAAAAGAGCCCCACACTCTGGAGGACAAGTCTGGTAAAGTCAGACTAGCCGTGCTTCAGACGGTAGGAAACAACACCACCTCTAAATTTGAACCCAACATTTTATTTAACACTTTGTTACAGCTATATTGTCTGAAATGACAAGACTGTGGCTTTATGTGTGTGTGCTGCAGTATGGCGACACCACACACACATTTGTGGAGAGGATGGGCTACACTGGGCTGTTCCTGCCTGGTTTCCATGCCACTCTGTTCAAGGACCCTTTCCTGGCCAGACTGTGAGTGGACATACTTTAAAATCAGACACATACTCATGAATAATAACCAAGGCTGTAGTTTTATGTGGTGTTGCCTCCATCTTTGTTCTGCTGCAGACCAGCTGGAAAACTGGACTTTATTGATCACGTAGTGGGAAACCAACCAGATGATGAGATGGTCTCAGTCGTAGAATGGTAATGAACCATCAAAGCTGCTTCCGTGATAACAACCCTGCTGTTCAGATCTTTCTGTTGGGATGTGGACTGTCTGAGTCCGTGTCAGGGCAAAGCTTAGAGGAGAATCTAAAAGGTGCTGGACTCTTACGTAACAATGCCTTTTTGGCAGGAGTCAGGGATCTGGATTATTTTGCAGCTTTAAGAGGGGCTCTAGTGGTTCTTCACATCTGGAACCTGTTTGTCCCTATTACACTAAAGACATAAAATGTGAAATAAGGCAGCTCTTGAAAAGAGCAAGCTCATTGGGTAATTTAGGGGGAACAAGGGGGCGTACAAAGGGCTGGAGATTTCTGGATGTGTCTTTTATGTTTTACAAGCCAGAGGAAATATTTCCGACCCTCATGACAAACAAAAAAACAAGCATCTGAAATAATTTATCATAACGCAGTAACTCGAGCAGCATCTGTGGAATGATTCCAGATCTACAAAGCTCTGAGATGATTTGTGCTGTGCACGTAAAGACAACCCAATCCTGGTCTGAATTTACCCGTAACCTCTGGTTGATTTCACAGGTATCGCAGGAACCTTCTCTTTCATCGCTTCTGGTCGGTGGACGACAAGCAGCTTCAGACGGAGTTCAGTGCCCTGCGCTCCATCGTTGTGGCTAACCACGAGGAGACGGTGAAGATGCCAATCAACGAGCCTGCAACGGGAAAGAGGAAGTCCCAGATTCAGGCATGTCAAAATGTCTAAGACATACAGGACTAAAACCTGAAGAAAGTTTTTTTACTAAACAGTTTTGTTAAATTACAGGAATATGTGGAATACTACGGAGGAGCTGGGGTGCAGCATATTGCCATGAACACATCAGATATAATTACAGCTGTAAGAATGTGAAATATATTTTTCAAAAATTAATTTATACAACCTCATGAGAAGTTTGACTGTACCTGTCGTTGGCAGATACGTAACCTGAAGGAGCGCGGCATGGAGTTCATGTCAGTGCCGGACACCTACTACGACCAGCTGAAGGAGAAGCTGAAACACGCAAAGATCAAAATATCTGAGGACCTGGATGTCCTGCAGGTCAGAAACAAAAAAAAGAGAACAGAACTGAACGACTTCTGATGGTTTACACAGATAATATTAAACAGATCTTATCGTGATTTTACAGGAGCTGAGGATCTTGGTGGACTACGACGACAAGGGTTATTTACTTCAGATCTTCACCAAGCCGGTCCAGGATCGCCCCACCGTGTTCTTAGAGGTCATTCAGAGACACAACCACCAGGTGAGGACAGCGTTGGGTAAACGTCTCTGAAAACACACTAAAACAATCAGCGTAACATCATCTCCTTCATTTTACATTTTCTTTACAGGGTTTTGGAGCAGGAAACTTCAAGTCTCTGTTTGAAGCTATTGAAGCCGACCAGCAGGCCAGAGGAAACCTGACAGTCCTCACGCCCAACGGAGATTTAAAAAGCATGTGAACCTGCGTATGAATAATAACGTCTGATCAAGTTCTCACAGGGACGTGCCGCATCTCTACTCTGAGTGATGCACACGGAAAGAATACACCAGCAAATGTGATTATCTGTATTTCAGTTTTTATTGCTGATAATAAATTCTTTTAACTTATATTTCTTTTGGTATAAATGTACAATTCATATAAGGCAAACCTTATGAATTTATATTACCAAGCAAATATCACAAGTTAAAATGTACAATGCCTATAAAATATTAACAGGGAAAATATTACAAGCTTGACTCAAGCAAAACCCATTTAAAGCTCTCGTAAATGAAAACATGTAACCATAATCAGAACAAGGTCAAAAGACCTTTTAATGTAACGAGACATTTAGCAAAAAGTCTGATTTCTTTCATTTTGTTGAAATAAATACTTTGAATGTGCCATCTTGTTCTTTATTTCACTGACGTATGAGCAACTATAATATGTTTTTAGTATATTTAGCATACTTTTACAAGATTAAATAACCTACCTCCATAGATAAATCAAAGGTCAAAATGAAATGGTCTCATTTGTGTTATGATCAGTTAAAGCAGTTCACAGGTTTCACTAGCAGCACCAACATGTCTGCAGAGCTTCCATGATCTCCTGTGACCTCCAGACTGTACAGTTTTACACAGAAGAAAAGAAAAGCCTGGACACACTGTGGGTCATCTCAACCATCCATACTCTAAAGCTGCTTCATTATGGGTCAGTTCAGGGATCCTCTGCAGTTCTCTGCCCCACACAAACAAGGAATCTTTGTTTCCTCAATGGGAAACTTGTAGTCGTAGGTAATTTCTTCATTGACACTTATTGGCTGACGGGAGTAGATCACGATCTTCTTCTGAGACTCCACAGTGATGATCTTTGCGTAACAGTTGGGCTGGAAGACAATAAAACACCAGTGCAAACCGTTTAGTTTACGATGTGAAGGTATTTCTCATCAGTCATGTTTAAAACCAGCTGTTATTGAGATACCATCAGTCTGTACTAGAGCTGTCATTTCTAACGGGAACCCAGAGCCCGGCCCGACCCAGATTAGGACCGGGTCGGGCCATAATAATGTGCTTAATGTGCGGGCCGGGCCAGTGTCTGGCTTTTTGATTGCGTCAGCGGACGAGTGCGGCTGACAATCCAATTATATGGCAGCGTGGCTTGCCATACAGTCACCAGGCACACGCGACCATTTGACCGCGCACTGACTGGCCTAGTAAGAGGTTAAAAAAGTTCAGGTAAGCTTCAGATGGGACTATACTGTCGGGCAGCGATCCATCAAAGCCCAAATGAATATTCGTGTAGCCGCTGCATTCAGCGGACGCGCTTAGCCGACGACCCAAACAAATGAGATCCCAAAATATCTTTGCAGAATGTCAGAGCAGGGTCCGTGTCTGAATAATGCAGAATGCAAGCAGAAGCAGGGATTTAATGCACATTGACAGCCATGAAACGGCAAACACCCCCTCACCTCCGATCTTCTGCCCTCTTTTAATCAGCTGCGCGCGTTTGCCAACCGTTAATAATTATATAAGCAGTCAAAGCTTAATAAAATTTGGGTCGGGTTCGGACCTGTAATTACTGTTAATTCATCAGGTTGGGTGGGGTTCAGAAATGGTGGCTACGGGCTGGGGCTGGGTTGGGTCAGATTTTTTGGGCCGAATGCCACTCCAGTCTGTACTCACGTTGCAGCTGTGGTTGATAAATCGGGCTAAATTCCCCCATTTAGTGGCGTCAATGATGGTATCCTGATCAACACGAAATAAATAGCTGCTTCCGATCCCCTCATCCTCGTATTTCTGCTCCCTCATGTCCGCAATGACCTGAGGAAAACAGAAAAACAAATATGTTTGTAAAAGATGAAAGATGTTTACTACACTCACAACTACCAGAGAGTCCCAGAGGACCTACTTGTAGAAACAGCCAGGAGAAAAGAGGTTTGCTAGCATTACCTGTCTGATGATTTGTCCCACATATTCAATCACCATCTCATCCGCTGCGATAGGCTCCATGGCAAACAAGCCCCACTCATGTATGAAACTCCGGGTGAAACGAATTCTCTTCTTTCGAAACTGACATAAAGAGATAAGAAGAGATTTATGACATGCTGCATTTCAAATAGGAACTTCAGCTTACCATTAATGTTTTGATTAGACTACATTTAACACCGCTGTGTTATGATTGCAACTGTTTTCTTATATAACAGGAATGATTAAAAAAAAAAACCTTTTTTTAGAGCACAACTTAGACCCAGGCAGCAATACTTGTTGTTTTAGGAAATTTTCTGAATGTAAAGCGCACAATTTTAAAACATCAATTATAAATATCTCATGCATTATATATCTCATACTAGTTAAATCAGTGTGGTGTTGCATAACAAGCAGAAACAGAGAAGTCGAGTGTTGCCTCGCCTGTCTCTGAAGCATCACATGCTGTATGCTGAAGAAGATCTGGCTGCATTTGAAAAAGATGCTGTTTCAAGTCCATAAACATTTTCACACATTCATATTAAACAAAGTGGATTGGAAAGTCCTTTAAGTGTTTTCAGTTTGAAGGCAGTTTTACATTTTTGTATGTATTTCTGAAAATCTAATGGATACATTTATTTTGCTTTTATTCCAACTATAATCACCTTCAGTTGTTCTGTGTGGTCAACATGGCTCAGCCACAGTGATTACAAGTTTACCTTAAGCTGGTTGAACTTGACCAGGTCACTGTCACAGCTGAAAGAGGACAGCAGGCGGCGCTGTTCAGACCTGAAGTCAGATCCAGCTCGTAGTGATGTGGGTTGTTGGACTGTGAGAGACATTCCCTGCAGGAACATTTATTGTCACTTAATAAAAATTAAAATAAATAAAAAAACACTGCACACTGAGATCACTGCATTTGTTATCTTCTGTTAAATACCTGAGTGCTTGTAGACTGAAGATCAGCAGCCAGCTTTGTGTTGTTGAGGTATTTCATTTTATCCTTCCTGCTGATTCTGTAGAAGCCTTCACTGCGAGCAGATCCGGTTCTGTGGACTGGGAGCCAGGACCTGTGATCTTCACTCCTCTCTGTTGGGATTTTGGTCAGTGAGCAGAAGTTAAGGAAGTGACGCACAGATTACGACACAGAGCTGCAGGTGAAATTATTAACCAAAGTTCTTCACGTGTTGTCAGTCATTGTTTAAAAGACTAAACTCCATTTGATTTACTTGAGCCTTGACATAATTACCATCATCATCACTTGCACCTCACTGACATCACACCGCACTCTAAACATCTTGACCAAGACAACAGCACATTTACAGAATCCAAAACAAAGGATATGAGGATGAGGTATCCAGAGGGTGTCACTGAGCCACCCAACACCAACGCCCTGCTCGTGCAGCCTTTCATAGGTAAAGAGCAGCAGCCTGGCATCTTCTTCATCCAGGCCCTCCTTCCAAACACTATGAAGGATTTTCTTCTCCTCACAGCAACACCTGTGAAGATGCTGTTTAGAGGAAAGGGAACAGCTAAATCCTTGAAACCGTCTCCGCCGATGACGGGCCCTGTTTCTCCTTTTTAGCCTCCCCCACAGTTTTTGCCTCAATAAGGAGTTCTCCTCATCCAAAAGTTCAGGCATATTCTCAAGTCCCTGCAAGGGCTTCGTTCTCACACCTGAAGTCATGGTCACATCACTACCATCAGCAGAGTCCGATGAAGATTCAGAGAGGCTGCACGGAGATGACACTGGGATGGGAGAAACTCTGAGACAGTTGTTGTGCAGCGAAGATTTCGAGGAAGTGCTCGTTGTTTTTGTTTTCCTCTTGTGGACTACGTCTTTTTGAGGAAAGAAAAAGTCTCTTCCAGGAGTCTTTGGAGGTGTGATGTACAGATTGCTTGATGGAGGTAGGACATGTGGTGGACTGCTGAAAGGCAAACACACTGTGCTTCCTTCTGAAGTTATTATCACATGGCCATTTCTTTCCTCCCTGCCAGGAGTTTTAGGCTTCTCCTCATAGAGTGGGTACGAGGCAGGCAGGAAATCAGAAGCTAGAACCTCACTGCATGCTGGAGAGAGGGAAAATACCTCACTGGCTTCATCTGAGTCTGCACCCAGCAGGTCAGCCACTATCCCCTTGCCTGGGGTTGGTGGTCGCTCCACAGCTGGGGATGCTGGTTTGATTTCTATAAGATTCTCAGGGTCGCTGTCCTCCAAGCAGCCCGAAGGAGTGAGAGGCCTCAAGTTGAGAGGCTCCACTGTCGATTCAGGTCTTCTCAGCCCAACATCAAGGTCCGGCTCCACTGCCACACAGATTAATAAGAAGTTATTAAAAAAAGAAAGTTACATCTTTACATATAAAACTCTTTGAGAAGACTACAAGAGTAAACTCTAGTTTTGTGCAGTTTACTTATAACAAGCTTTATCAATAGTTATTTAATTTGGAAAAATCGTTGGAAGCTTTCTGGATGTCAAAAATACAATTTTTGACTTGTAAATATAAGAAACACATCACTAAATGACAGCTGCTTTCCTTGAGGGAACATCTTTCACAAACCACCTTGCATGCCAACTTCATACAAAGATGTTGCACTGATGGCGCAACTTGACGGTGATGACTCTCAACTATGACCACATCAACTGTCAGCTCAACATCTGTAAAATGACTGAGACATAGCCATTGTTGTGTTTGCTAAGGTTAATTAGTTGTGGTGGACACAGGTTGGACTGACTTTTTGACATTTTGAGCGCCTATGTTTTGAAATGTGGCGTAATGTGAATAACACATCAAACATTTCTCTCTTTGTATTTTTTTATTTATTTTTTACAGTAAGAATTTTATTCTTTATGTCTGAAATGTAGCAGGAGTTCAGACATATCAGCAGTTGTGCGTGCGCTCTGTAGAGCTGTCTGGAGACGCTGTGCATAACGTGCACTGCGCAGGGCATTTATTTATTCTGTTGAATAAATGATTGTTTCTGTTGTTGAACAAATCACTTCAGCAGCTTCATGTGAGCTGGAACCCCCCCACCACCACCACCACCACCACCACCAAGTGATTGGGGGAGTCTGAGAGGAGGGCAGAGGTGGTGTTTTTCAATGCGCAGCACTGCTGAAGAGGGACAATGTTGGAGAAGAGGAGGAGAGAAGGACTCTGTACAGCACCTCTGTGTATAAATGTGACCATCTGTCCCTCCATCCTCACCCCCGCTGCCTCCTCCCAGCCTGGGAAGGAGCGTGTGAGCGAGTTGGTGTGCTACACGTGCTGCGGCTGGAACATCCACTCCACAGACTGGGTCCGCCGGGCTAAGGGCAACATCTCCTCTTGTATTTTTAATAAATAATCAAAATAAAAATGCACTATGACTTTGGATTTATGGGGCGGAGATTTGGGTTGCCGGATCCGAGCAAATAGTTGCTGGCCTGGAACACAGACTATCAAAATAAGAGAGTTCCCGGATCTTGTTCCAGCAGGATCCGGCTCAAAATAGCCCCTGGTGGTGGCCAATTTGAAGTTGGAGATGTACATCCAATTATTACTTTCTGAGAGCTTAAATTGAATTTGTGGTTCATGAGATATTTTGCTAATACTTCAAATGATTTCTCTCTCATACACAAAAAAGCAATTACATGATCACTCACCTCCATAAAAGGTAGGCAATGAAAAACAATTTGGTACAAAAAAATGTGTAATTACCTGCAAGTTCAGCATCAGAAAAAGGCCGTCTGTTCCAGCTTTCTGTGTGTTGGACTTCCACTACGGAGTCGGAGTCACTTGTGTCTTGCAGACATGACGGATGTTTCTCCTCTGCTTGCTCCTTTTCACGCACACCTAACCAGTCGTTTAGGTCTAAATCCAGCTGAGCTCCAGGGGTTAGAGGAGCTGAGGGACTTGGTGAAAGCTCGAGGTCCACTGACTCTTCATCCGATGAAATCACAATGCACTCAGCGCTCCTGTTATCCTCCTCCATGTCTTCATTCTCTGTACTGATGTTAGAGGACAAGTCCTCAAAGCTCTTTGATGAGAACCAACCTGAGGAGTACTCACTTTCCTCAAAGGTGAAGCTTTCTGAAAAACTCTCTGTAATTGAAAAGGGAAACAGAACTATTTATTCAAACCTATCCAAGTATTTCATATTAAAATGTATAATTTAAGGTATTCTTTAACATACCACTATCTAAGCACTGTTCATCTTCTTTCACTGGACAGACAACAGCATCGTCATCTTCCTTCTCTTCTGGAGCTGGCGTGTCTGCCTCACCTCGGTGATTAAGATCATCATCATCATCATCATTATCTCTGTCAGACTAATTAGAGCAACAATTATATGCCTCTGTCTTACAAATTTCAAACCTAGCAGTTTACAATATTAAAATTTGACACTTTCTTGTAATATCACCATAATTTACCACGATCTGAGGATCACCAACAAGTGGAACAACAACTTCTACTTGGTCTGGTATCAAGTCATGATTTTGATTTGTGTCATTCTCTCCTTTTCCTTCATCATCACTGTCCAGCTCTAGTGGTCTTGCATGTCTGCGTTTGGCTCTTTCAGATGCAACAATCTCACCCCCCTGCTGCACATTTAGGGCTATCGACAGAGAATTACATCTTTGTGTAAGACAAAGTTGAAATTCTACACTTGCTAAGTTTTAAAAATGGATTAAAAAAACACTCACCAGGGCTTTCATTTTCATTTTCTACTTCTGATCTTTTCCTTTTTACCTGCATAACAAATGTTTATTGTTTTAGCATTTTAATTTTTCCACCTTGTTTTGTTTTATGTATAATTCAGCATTAAATTGTGTATGTCACATACTGAGTAGAATAGTTTACCCTGAATGATGGAAGTGGAGGCCTTTTGCCCCGTCCACCGATGTGGATGAGGGGATCTGTGAGTTTTGGTCTCTCTTCCACACTCGGTGCGCTACTTTTCAAAGGAGACGCCTGCATCTTGAAAGAATAAAGCAACAATAAATAGCTGCAAAGGTGCACACTCATCAAACAACACTTTGTGCGTGTGTGTGTGAGAGAGATGAACTAACTCTAGTTTTCTTCTCTTGAGTATCCCACCAGTCCTCAAATGCCTTAAAAGCAACACCTTCGGTTATCTTCCGTGTAAGATCCTTCTTGATGACTGATTTCAGCTCATCCATGAGAACTTCTAAAACTTTTTCTGCAGTGATCTTATGGGGGTTTTCTTGTGCAGGAATCTGGTAGTTTGGTGGCGGGACAAAAGGGTTAAAAATGGGGAAAGGTGGAGCGAGCCAGGGTGGTCGAGGGAATGGGAAAGGTGAACTCCCATGTTTCGGAGTATTATCCTTATTTAAGGTGGGTGGAGGCTTCATGGGCACAGGATACACAGGCAGAGGAGGTGGAATAGATAAAGGCGGAGGTGGTACCAGAAAAGGCGGTGGACGTAGAATGGATGGAGGCGGTGGTATGGGTGGAGGGGGAATAGTGATGCCTGGAGGTGGTATCCATCCTGGAGGTGGGATGGGGATGGAGCCATTAGGTAGGCGAGGTGGAGGAGGAATAGATGGAGGGAAGGGAGGAATGGGAAAAGAAGGTATTGGAGGATGTGCAGTCACTAAAGGAGGAGGTGTAGGGTCTGTATGCAGGGTGGGGCCAGTGAAAGGAGACATAGATAAAGTTTTAGGGTGTGAGGAGGGATCTCTCACTCCAGGCTGTCTTGTATTTGAGTGATCCACATCTTCATCCTCCTGAGTAACAAAAGAATGTTGCATAAACATTTTAACATAGAAACTGATAACTAATTAAATTAATATGATGTAAAACATGCGCATGAATAAATCTAAAGGAATTACCTTTGAATATAACAACAGTGCAGATCTTTCTGCATCTTCTTCGTCGTCTCCAGAAATCCTCTTCTCACAATGTTCAAACTCAGACGGAGAGGGGGACAGGGAGTTTGCTGTAAGAAACAAAACCGCTCGATTGGTTTCGTCTTCCTCGTCTTCAGCGAGCAACGATGAGCTGGCGTTGACATCGCTGAGGGGGCACTGGCGGGTGCTTGTAGAGGATTCACAAGATGGCCGAGCACATAAGAGAGATTCATCTGATGAAGGCATGTCAGGAGTGGTGCAAGGTGATGATGGGCTGTCTTGAAAGTGCACATCTGCCTCAAAGAAGGAGGAGTTTGTAATCTGACTGTTTATAAGCAAACTTTCAATACGAGAGTCCAAACTCTCCTTCTCTGGCTGGTTATTGTCTGGGGAGGCTCCTAAACACCGGTCAGCTGGAAAAGTTATGCTCAGGATGCTGAGAGAGTCGCAGCTCTGAGCTAAAGTTGTGGAAGTAGAGTTAGGCGTGTGTCCAGACTCGTGAAATGGGGAGGCAGGGTCACATGAAGCTTCATTATCAGTGGAAGATTGTGAATTGTGATTCCAGAGTGAAAGCTGATGGCTGCTGGTTTGTTCCTGTGTTGATGGGGGGGTGGCAGGGTGTGGCTCGCAATGCTTCAAAATAAAGCTGACATTTGAAACTTGATGAGATCCCCTGTGATGTCTTGCAGGTTTACGATGGCAGAGAGCTCGTCTTAAATGATTGTGAATGCTATAAGTAGAGGGCTCCCCCTGGAGGACAGGGGTCGCCTGAAGACTGGAGTAACAAGAGTCCTGGGAGAGAGGAGTTGCAGACATGCAGGGAGTGCGGGGGGTTCCCTGAGACTGTGGCGTTAAACCAAAACTGCAAGGAGTGTCCTGCCATATGCTGGAGTAGGCTGTGTCTAAAGAGAGGGGTGTAGAGATGCTGACAGGGCTGCAGACGCTCAACATCTGCTGTGGGGCTGTGCTGCCCTACAAGACAGGAATAGAAGAGGTTATTAATTATTTTTGTAAATATTAAAGAAAATAACTTGACCAATGTGCAAAACTTGATCAAATTCTCGCAAGCAGCCTCAAAGTTACCAGCAAACGGTCGACTAAGCTTTGCAAAGCTCGCTCACTGCTTCCCACCGGTAACGTCCAGGGAGTATACAGGCCACTGAAGAGCAGCTGGAGGTATCGTGCTCTATTCGCACCTGAGGAGAGCATATAATTAGGCTACCACTGTACAATAAGGCTCCCCTTATAGATGGCTAATAAATAGTTTATAGTTATTAATTCCCCTATAAACACTTCATAAATCATTAATAACTGCTTATTATGCATTAATTAAGGGTGACGGAGAGACAAAACTGACCAGTTTCTTGCCAAATAGTGAGTCAAATCTGTTCACCTATATATTTCATCTAGAATTGTTATATTAAACATTTCACACTAAGTTACTACCTTGTAAGCACAATAAGCATTTGTAAACCTATTTCTTTAGCATATAATATTGTACTTTATCACTGCATTATAAGTATCTACAACTAATTTTATATCCTAAAAAAATTAGGTTTACAAATGCTTATTGTGCTTACAAGGTAGTAACTTACTCTGAAATGTTTATTATAACAATTAGATGAAATACATAGGTGAACAGATTTGGCTCACTATTTGGCAAGAAACTGGTCAGTTTTGTCTCTGTCACCCTTAATTAATGCATAATAAGCAGTTATTAATGATTTATAAAGTGTTTATAGAGCAATTAATAACTATAAACTATTTATTTGCCATCTATAAAGGGAGCCTTGTTGTAAAGTGGTACCATAATTAGTCAGACAATTCAACAATATCCACATTTAGACCTTAACGTTTTTAAAACCCATATACCTTTAGGATCAACTTCCACATGGATGATGTTTCCCATCACGGACGTCCGATGGAGGTGCTGCGCCGCCTCTCTCGCGCCCCTCACCGTGTCAAAGACTACCTTTGCAATCCCCAGGTGCTTCTTGTTCTTGGGATTGTAGAATATTTCCACGTCTTCGACGTTCCCATATTTGCTGCACATGTTGGTGAGAAACGTCTCCCTCACATTGTCGTTCAACTTGGAAAATGTCACTTCTTTGGGAGGAACGGGGCCAACGTACCATTCATCAACCTGAAAACAAGACACGAGCAAGATCTACCTTTGTTTCTTCTCACATCATTAAATACAGTATCAATACATAATTATGTCTATACCTTAAATTTAGGAAGTATGAAGTCTGTCTTGTTGTATTTGCTCCACAGGCGGCAGATGCGTGGATCCCTGACTGTGTCCACAGGAAACAGACCTATGTCCTCAACCTGCAAAATAAAAGCCCCCAGTAGAGTAGAAAATGTGTTTGGTTAATTGACGTCTTGTTATATAAGGAGTTTAAGAAGACAAATAAATGATGCTAAAATACTCACGGGAATGTTAAAAAATTTCCCATCAAAGCGACACACTTTGTACAGTCCATTTGTCAGTGCGGGGTCAATCAGCAACTTGCAACTTTTCCAGTGCTGAGGCTCTTTCTCTGTGTTTTGTTTGTCGCTTTCCATTACATTCGTCAAAACCTGGAATAAAGCGTCAATAATAACAAGCGCAAGGTGCCATTTTGTACCGAATGTAGCTGCAAGCTAGCTTAAAGGAGAACCACTGCAGGTTAACACACCCCAACAGGTGATGGAGAGCATCACCTGAGCCCTTATCTACACGATAACAGGAGGAAAATTAAAACCTGCCCGAATAGTCAAAGTTATTTTTAACGAAGTGCTTCTTATCTCGCTCACCTGTGCTGAAGTTTCGTCCTCTGAGCGGCCAACATTGTTGCAAAATAGCGAAGGTTTTTGATGATTTTTTTACACTTCGTCGCGCAGGTCGGAGGATGGATCCATCCGCCAGGAGACTGAGAGGAAATATAGATCCGTCCTCTCTGCGGAAGGACACCGCTTATTGAGATGAAGCCGAGGCATCATTTCTCTATAAATTATTAAATTACCCTTCCGGAACTCCACTGTTCAAAGATGTATTAGTAGCTTATTAATTAAGTAGTTGAATAAAAACAAAAATAGTTCCTATAATAATGAAATCAAAAGTAATGATAAGTTTACAAGTTGTAACACTGAAAATCTATGTAGATGTTGGAATTAAGCAGTCCACTTTTATGAGTAAATGACAAAAATTTACATTAATATTATTTTTTTCATCATATAAATAATCCCTCGTAATAAAGACAAACAAACAGAAAAAGGGTTTATGTAAATTTGATTTATTTTAGAAGGCTGTTTTTTTTTTTAATCAAAGAACAACAGAATCAGTTTCAGTTTATCTAATAAATGTTTGAAAAGTATGAGGTGCAGAAATGTCTGTCCTTCAGGACATCTGTCCCCGTTTGTCTTTAACATGACTCAGACTCTGGGGTTCAATAAGAGGGATCAGCCCAAGTTTCTGCTTACTGGAAATAGTACTTTTAGTGGTAATTTTTAGACAGTAATACTAAAATACATGTACTGTATCTGGTTTTTTGTTTTGTTTTGGGGGGGTTTTGCATGAAAGAAAAATTTAGTTCTGAAATTGTAATTTACAGATCATAAAGTACACAGATAAATAAAGTTTGGACTACATCTGATCTGACTATTTGCTCCAGAATAAAAGATATTCAGCAGCATAAGAAAAATCACAATCAAACGAAATTTGTTTATTTTTTCATTGCCAGAATGCTAACACTTTTAAATTTCAATACTTTTAAATCAGTATGTAGCATAAAAACTTTGTAAATAAATCACATATTTGTCATTATTCTCTTATCACATCAGTGTGGTGCTGATATGTTTTTACATTAAAACTCTCAGTATGTTTGCATGTTTAGTGGGTACGTCAAAATATGTCCATAAGCAATTTAAAATGTTTGAAATATGTTTTCATAGTGTAGTGTAATGGTGCTTGGCAGCGTTTCTGTAATAGACTGTTTATCATCATTGTTGGATGCACCTGATTTAAAAAATGCTTTATCATTTCAGTTTTCATCCAAACCAAGCATTTATGGCACATCAACTGCGTCTGCTGAGTTACTCATGCTGGAATCATACACTGCCTAACCAACAAACAAAAAAAGTCACCACCAAAAACAAAGGTCACACACTAAGGTCACATCCTCAGTTCTGGGTTACATTAGTACATGTACTGACACCGTCTCCACTATCAGATATGTTAAAAGCTATACAGAAAACCTTGGCTGAATGCAGAGGTGCGTACCCTGCTGGAAGCCAGGAACACTGCCTTCAGGTCTGGAAGCTCAGAGGAGCTGAGTAGGACAAGAAAAGAGCTGGTTGCTGGTATTAAGAAGGCCAAGGCCACATATGCACAGAGGATCAAGGATCAATTCACCTCGCAAGACCCTCGGAGCATGTGGAGGGTCATTAAGTACATAACAGATTATAAAGGAAGGAGTGAACAACGTCCCAAAGACCCATCTCTGCCTGATGCCCTCAACAATTTCTATGCACTCTTTGAAGACCTGAACAGACCACCCAGCACCAGACTCACCTCACCACCGGATGAAGAGCATCTCAGCGTGACCTCAGCAGCAGTAAGGAGTACCTTCAGGAGGATTAATCCACACAAGGCAACCGGCCCAGACAACATCCCCGGAAAAGTGTTGAAGGAATGTGCCGATCAGCTCTGCGAGGTGCTGGCAGACATCTTTAAAACCTCACTTACACTGGAGACAGTTCCCACCTGCCTGAAGACTGCCACCATCATCCCAGTCCCAAAAAGCTCTACAGTGACTGGTCTGAATGACTACTGGCCAGTGGCCCTCACCCCGATAGTCACTAAATGCTTAGAAAAACTGGTCATGACCCACATCAAAACAACCATCAACATCAACGAGGACCCTCATCAGTATGCATACCGTGAGAACCGATCAACAGAGGATGCCATCTCCTCTGTGGTCCACACTGCGCTCAACCACCTGGAGCAGAAAAACTCTTACGTCCGTATGCTCTTTGTGGACTTCACATCCGCCTTCAACACCATGATCCCCCAAACCCTGATGGACAAACTATTCACACTAGGACTAAGCCCCTCCATTTGCAGCTGGGTCCTGGACTTCTTAACAAACAGCCCACAGTCAGTGAGGATCCACAACTTCTCCTCCTCCACCATAACCCTCAGCACTGGCTCTCCTCAGGGATGTGTGTTGAGCCCCCTCCTGTTTACTCTGCTCACGTATGATTGTGCAGCTACCCATCCAGGCTGTCACATTGTAAAGTTTGCAGATGATACAGCGGTGGTGGGATGCATCACAAACAATGAGTCCAGCTACAGGCAAGAGGTGGAACACCTGGAGAGCTGGTGCAGACAGAATAACCTTCACATCAATGTGAAGAAGACAAAAGATATGATTGTGGACTTCAGAAGGAACAAACACACCTACACCCCCCTGAACATAAGAGTAGGCTCTAGCTACAAGTACTTGGGTGTACACATGAATGACAACCTCAGCTGGAGCAACAACACCACCAGCCTGATCAAGAAAGCTCATCAGAGACTCTACTTCCTCAGGTGGCTGAGACGAGCTGGTCTGGGAAGCTCATTCCTCACCTCCTTCTACAGGTGTGCAGTGGAGAGCATCCTGTGCTCCAGCATCAACGTGTGGCATGGAGGCTGCACAGCTGCAGAAAGAAAAGCTTTGCAGAGAGTGGGGAAGGCTGCACAGAAGTCTGTTGGAGTCAGTCTCCCCACCATCACAGACATTTACACCTCCAGATGCAGGAAGAGGGCCACCTGCATCATGAAGGACCCCACTCACCCAGCACACACACTTTTTGCCACACTCCCCTCAGGAAGGAGGTTGAGGAGCATTAAGTGTAGAACCACTAGACTGAGGAAGAGCTTCTACCCTGAGGCTGTTAGACTCATGATCTCTAACCAGAATAATCACTGTGAAAAAAAATCACATCATGTTGCTGCTGATCTGTTTCATGTTGCTGCTGATCTGTTTCAATGTTAATGTGTTCATGCGTGCTCATCTGCTCACACAGACTCATGTTCATGTTTGTGCTGATGTTCGACGTAATGTTTTTTATACTATTAGTGCTTCGTGTATATTTAGTTGATGTTTTTCTTAGTTCCTATCTTAGATGTTATCATTGTTTTTCTTTTACATTTTATTGTTGGATGTACTTTGTAACTGGGACCCTGTTTACATAATTTCGCTCCACCACATGTACCACATGAGGTGCGAATGACAATAAAGAATCTCTGACTCTGAAAATATTTCATTGGACCATCTTTAGATTCTCTGTGGCATTGTTTCGATAAGCTTCTGCAAAGTCACAAGATCTAGTTCCATCCAGTGTTGCATTAATTTTTCACCAAGATCTTGCACTGATGACCGCAATTCTGTTCACTGTGCAAATCCTTCTCCAACACATCCCAAAGATTCTCAATGGGGTTAAGGTCTGGACTCTGTGGAGGTCCATCCATGTGTGAAAATGATGTCTCATGCTCCCTGAACAACTCTTTCACAATTTGAGCCTGATGAATCCCGGCATTGTCATCTTGGAATATGCCCGTGCCATCAGGGAAGAAAAAATCCATTGATGGAATAACCTGGTCATTCAGTATATTCAGGTAGTCAGCTGACCTCATTCTTTGAGCTCATACTGTTGCTGAACCTAGACCTGACCAACTGCAGCAACCCCAGATCATAGCACCTGGCTTGTACAGTAGACACTATGGGTGCATCACTTCACCTGCCTCTCTTCTTACCCTGACACGCCCGTCACTCTGGAATAGGGTAAATCTGGACTCATCAGACCACATGACCTTCTTCCATTGCTCCAGAGTCCAATCTTTATGCTCCCTATAAAGTGAAGCCTTTTTTTTCCAGTTAGCTTCACTGATTAGTGGTTTTCTTAAGGCTACACAGCTGTTCATTCCCAATCCCTTGAGTTCCCTTTGCACTGTACATGTGGAAATGCTCTTACTTTCACTATTAAACATAGCCCTGAGTGCTACTGTTGTTTTTCTTCAATTTGATTTCACCAAACATTTAAGTGATCGCCGATCACGATCATTCAGGATTTTTTTCTGGCCACATTTCTTCCTCATAGACGATGGGTCCTCACTATCCTTCCAGTTTTTAGTAATGCGTTGGACAGCTCTTAACCCTATTTTAGTAGTTTCTGCAATTTCCTTAGATGTTTTCTCTTCTTGATGCCAACGATTTGACCCTTCTCAAACAGACTGACATCTTTTCCACGACCACGTGATGTGTCTTTAACATGGTTGTTTAAGAACTAAGAAGCAACTCATTGCACCAGTTGTGGTTAAATAACTTGTTGCCAGCTGAAAGATAATCGCCCATGCAGTAATTACATGTACAAATTTAAAAATGAAAATTGCATTCCAATAACTAAATAAAACTGAAAGGGGAGGAAAAAATGTAGAGACAAGTCAGAGCTTGAATGTGGACGAGCTGATCAGAAAAACAACGAACAAAAAGTGCCACCTCCAACATGTCAGAGAAACGTTTTAAAACCAGCATGTCCGAGCATTTCCTGCATGGTTTTACTGGTCCAAATGAAATGATTTAACCTTTTTTTGTTATCTACCTGGATGATTGAGCCTACAACCCTTTTTCCTTTTAATAATGAGATACATGTAATATGGTGGTGTTTTCTTGCATCTTTACAAATATGAATGCAAAGTGAGATTAAAAGCAATAAACAGAAACCAGCCAGAAGCTAAACTTACAATAAATACATTTAATGTAAAGCTCCCAAACACTGTGCATTGACACATATTGACATAACTTATTAAATAAACAATAAAAGTAAAGCAAAGTAACACATCTTTGCTCGCATTACTCAGTAAAAATGAACAAGGGTCTCTGATTCAACCTTTCTGATTTTAACACATTACTAAACAGACTGTGAGGTCATTTTATTGTTTTCTGGTGGTCTCACACATTTAATCTGATTAAGACCAATTGAATGATAAAACTGTCTGCAACAATGCTGCTTTAACATGACGCAGTAGAAACAAAGTGCATTGGGTGAGCGACAGACAAAACTGAAACTGCAGCAATTTGATCAAAGCATTACTTTGATACAGAGTAACAGTATTCACAGTGACTGTGCCAAAAAGGATAAAATAAAAAACAAAAAACATTAAAACCTTGTGAAGGCACAATCACACAAACCGATGTTACTTTATAGGAAACTGTTAAAGACAAGGCGCTTGGTGATATACCACGGGACAATAATGAGCAAAACTCCAGACGCACATAAAAATATAAAAACCTAACTGTGTAACCATGCTCAAATCTGTAAGCAAAAAACAAAAAATCAACTGAACATTCTCAATACTTTCATGCTTTGTAATAGTTGCTCAACCCATAGCTTCATAGCGAGTAACCTTTAGTTAATTTACAGCATATCTGAGTTGAAAAAACAATTTGAAATTGAGCAAATCATCAACTCCTTCATAAAGGAGGGAGAATGAGCACCAATACAGCCTCATAACACAACTTAAATGGATCATTTTGATTCCAAATAAGCCTCTCAATAAAAATATGAATATACTCTGGTTTGGTTAAAGCCATTCTCTAACATTTACCGTTTCTCTGTTCTCTTGCTCCATGCAGAAGAACAAAACGTCAACAACGTGTACTGTTTTACTTTGGATATTGTTACTCAAACACTAATTTCCCTTCAACAAACAGATCTTTGGTGATTTTTAGAAAATTAGATAAAAAGCAAAATGTGAATCCCTGAAAAAAATAGCCTAATTTTTGTCAACCTGTAACAAATCACAGCATTAGGGCCTTGTAAATCAGCGAAATACAACACTTTGTTCAAAAGGTCTGTCATCTTGTGTTCATTTATAAAGTCTGTAAATATGATGACTAACATAGCTGACACGTGTACAAAATCTGTGTAAAAAAAACTAAGTCTGGTGCTAATGCAGCAGTATTTGTGTACAGTACAGTACAGTTTTTGTGGCGTACCTCCATTTGCAGAAATAAACAACTATGAATAAGGGCTTCTGTAGAAAAAATAGAAAGCCTGAAGTACTAAACTTGTGAAATAAATTTGTTTTTCAGCACCACAGGCACCCTGGATTATTTCAAAGTACCTTCAAATTGCTCTTGTGCTGATGTGTCACATATGGTACCTACATATGTGCCCTCATATTAAAGCTAAGTAAATGCACACTGTACCACGGTATGCAAATCCTTCAGATTTTACTCCTGAATGATGTAATCTGACTGAATAATGATGTTAACAGCCAAGAGGAAACGATTCACCAAAAACTTAAAAAGCTAAAACAAATTCTGTAAACATGCAAAATCTAAACAACAACAAAAAAAGAGCCAAAACATGCAATGCTCAGCAGACGATGCAGCATCAGCAGCATCATAAAAGGCTTTTAGAAATGGCTGCTGAATGTCAGTGTCTTCGTTCAGGGGAAGAGAACAGCTGCCTTCAGGTTGTCGCTCTCAGACCTGTTGTCCAGCTGCTCCTGCAGCTTGATCACCTGGTCCAGCTCTCTGATCTGCCGGTCCGTTTTGTGGCTCACAAGTGTGCGGTAAAAGTGGACGGCGAAGACGATGAAAACGATCCCGAACGGCACCATGATGCAGGTGGATGCAATGGCCGCTCCCTCGCCGGAGCTTATGGTGCCGTTGTTTTTCAGCGGCAGGAACTTCACCCAGCACAACAGCATGACCTCGGTGAGGAAGAGGAGGGTGCCGATAACCGTGGAGAGGGCCCAGGCCAGCTCGATGTAGCGGTGCATGCGCTCGTGGGGAGACTCGTTCACGGAGTTGAGGTTGTGAACGTTACTGACCGCCTCCAGATTAGGGAGGATGCAGGTGCTGATCATGAGGGCAAAGAGATGCACCGCAACCAGGATGGTGGTGCAGGTGCTGAAGGCTATCAGCAGTCCTGGAGGGTAGTTGTGACCCCGCTCCACCTGGACCTCCACCATGGCAACCTGGGGGGAGAAGTCACAGCATGATCTAATGTTTGAAGACGTCTTCTCAGAATATACCAAAATGATCCGTAGATTTGATTTATTAATAAGATTTAATCACAGATGAATCACAAAACATACATTTTTATTTCTAATGCCGTTATCGTGAAATGATGTTGTTACTTATTTTGTTGTCACAAAAAAGTATTTTTTCTTGTATTAAAAATCATCCATCTCCATAATTTTGCCTTTATTAAAGAAAATATAACTAACTCACCAAGCCAAAGGAAATTCACTAAATTAAAACATGTTTTACTTTTTCTTTCATGACTGTGTTAAAGAGGAGGCTCCATAACTGACAGTGAAGCGTAAAGATAAAGTTTTGTTGCAGACGTTCACCTAAAAGACAATATAATCTGATGCACAGGCAGAGACGAGGCACAGAATGACTTTAACTCAACATTAAACCTGCCTCTGTTTATGAAGGGACATGTTTAATTTAACACCAACACTGTGAATTTGTATTTAGTGTTATGTAATTAATAATTTGTTATTAAAATAAATTAATAATTGTGTGTTAAGCTAAGAAGGTCATGAGATAAAAATGTTAAACAGCAGCTTTAATAACTGATCCTGAAAACGCCTGAGGTGAAACAAATTCAGCAGGAGACAAAGTGTCTTGAAAACCTCGAGACTCTGATTTGGACACACTGCATGGACCCCACCACATCTATAAATAGCCTAAGCTTGCTACAGTCTTTGTTCAGAAAAGATGTGAAAATAATGGATGTTAACCAAACGGAAACTGTGCCTCTTGTGCATCTTGGCAGCACGACGGCTCAGTGGTTAGCACTGTTGCCTCGCAGCAAGAAGGTCCTGGGTTCAATCCCCGGTTGGACCTGGGGTCTTTCTGTGTGGAGTTTGCATGTTCTTCTCGTGCTTGCGTGGGTTTTCTCCAGGTACTCCAGTTTCCAACCACAGACCAAAAAACATGCATGTTAACCTGCCTTCAGACCCTGGCCTCCCTTAAATCCCATTGAGATCTGTGATCTCAATGGGATTTACCTGGTTCAATAGAGGTTAATAATAAATTAATAAATAAATATTTTAAGTGCCACAAACATCTGAGCAGAGGTCCCCTCCCTGATCCTCGTGGCCCACTGTCCTGCAGAATATAGATGCTTCAACACGCCTGACTAAAACAAACGAGTCTTGGACTGGCTTCTGCTAAACTTGACAACACACCGAGGAGGTAATTTAATTATTTGAAGCAGGGAAGCAGCTCAAACATGCAGGACAAAGGGCCATGAGTGCCAGGGTTGGGGATCTCTGCTTTAGACAGGAAAGACGGGGCAATTAAAAAAAAAAAAATACACAAAATGAAATGTATTTTCTATTTTTTTAAATCCATCCACCTGAAGCTTGGTTAAAGCAATGATGCAGGACTGTACGAGTTCATCCACAATGGAAGAGTTCAAAATAAATAAATAAAGAGACTAACAGCCAAATGGTGACAATGTGATCCAAAAAATATAAGCAGCAAAAAAGAAAGATTTCTAAGAATGTGGGCAGCATGGTGGATCAGCTGCCACCTCTCAGTGAGAAGGTTGCCGGATCAAATCCCATCCCAGGACCCATCTGGGCGGAGTTTGCTGGACTTGGGCACCAGTGACCCCCCCGTGACCCAAAAAGGAAGAAACGGGTGGAGAATACTAAAAGAACATGAGTAATTTTTCAGTTTTGTGTTCATCAAAAACAATAAAAACACATTTCAAGGCCAAGAGTTCATGTGAATGGAGACACTTGAGGTGGTGGATCATGTCTGGGTGTTGTCTTTGATTCAGACCTTACATTCAGGCAACAAATTAACAAGACTACAACTGTGATCACATTCAACTCTTTACACTTTACAGGCGCTTCACTATGTGCAGGCAACGATCTTTTCTCATATATGGTATTGTCTTACGACCTGGTCAAACACGACAGTAAATGTGTTGAAACCAATCAAGTCTCTTCAAACGGACAGTTTTTAATGTTCCCTACTTTAATATCATGAGTAAGAATGACCAGATGTTTAGTGATGTAAAGAGTTTCAATGGGCTTGCCCCTCCACCATTAAGCTCTTTCATCCAGAATAAATAGCAGATCTCAAAATTTGTACAAAAGCTGGCATCAGTTAGAGGAACACGTTTAGGGAGTGAATTATCTGTATATGTCAGAGAATGTGACAATTATTAACGGTTTAAAAAGAAACTTTAACTGCAGCTAAAAGCAAATCAGTCATGTGCTCATTCATTAAACAAGCTCATTTTAACTGTGTAATATGGAGTGTGATGTTTAGGTGTTTGTTTCTGTGGATTGCTGTATAAATTATGATTTTTATTTATTTTTCCTGCCCAAAGGATGAACTTTAGCTACTGAACTATATCTGGTGCATTTACATTGTTGTGAATAATGAACACCGTTAATTAATATATATAATCTGTTATTACTTTGTTGTTAATGCAGTAAAGTAGTCTGGGTGTGTACTTTAAGCAGTAAACAGGCTTGTAGTTTTGCCTAAAAGTTGACACTATTAACTTTCTATTTGGGTCCTTGTTGTTGTTTGTGAGCGCGTTGTTTACATGTTGGCGTTTGTTGATGTTTACATGTTGGCATTTGTTGTTGTTTAGATGTTGTTTTTAAGTTGGAGTGCAAACAAGTAAGTAAACTGTGCGGGCAGTGGTCGTAGATGAAACAATCATCTGCGTCACGTTTCCTTCCTGAGCGTCGGTTCAAGTCCACGGCGGAATGAGCTGCGTCGTAGTTAGTTAGTAGTTAGTTAGTAGTTAGTTAGTAGTTAGTTAGTAGTTAGTTAGTAGTTAGTTAAAACTGACTGACTTACCATTGCGAAGCCCGACAGGAGCGCTGAGGTTCGGCTGGTCGCTTTTAGCTTCGCTCGGCTCAAATACAACTTTCTCCAGGACAGCGCCTGCATGGAGTGCTCGTTTAAACTCATGCCGAAAGTTGTTCAAGTGAAAGTTGAAATAATAATAAATTAATAATAATAATAATAAAGTTTCTAACTCTGCTGACAAGGCGGTGACCGAAGACAATGGGCGGAAAGTTTGGCTCCAGCTGAATGCAAGAAAGTAAGAGTCGCTGAAGTTCGTCGTGAAAGTGTCGCTGCACCAGCTGACTGTCAACACCTGAGGAAACACAGGAATACCCACAATCCAACGCGCCTCTGCAACTGTCAGCTTCCTCCTCTTCCTCTTCCTCTTCCTGACACCAAGAAGTGCATCTGTACTCTGCACTGGCTTATTTTATGTGGCTTTTAATCTGATTTTGAAAGAAAACTATATATAAAAGTCGAAATAATGACTCGGTATGACTACATTTAACATATTAGATTAAAAGACATTTCAAACAAAAGTCTCTGTAGGGTAACAAAAACAAAAAGGAAGGACAGCTGTGAAACTTTATTGTCACCGCTATCTGACAGGACTCAAAATGATAAATTTTATGCTTTCACACTAAAACATTTATATAATAATAATAATAGTAATACTGTAGTATTATTTGTTTGCATACAGTAAACAGCTTTAACAAAAAAAAATCAATTTTAAAGTTTCCAAGGTAAACAAAACCCAGCAGCATTCTGCTGTATATTACTGTCAAAACACAATAAGTCCAATTAATTTTCATGCTGTTGCTGCAACTGTCCCATGAGTCACTTTTGCTGTACTTGCAAGATTTTTTAGTGTCTTTGGGAGAAGTTGTGAAAAAGTGTGCCTTTATTCGTTTTGCAAAACAGCAGAATTAAAGAAGAACTATTCATGTGCATGTGTTTGTGCATGTTTGGGTTTTTTTCTAAAGTGAATTTTTCACAGCTTGCAAAATCTACTTTTTTGGTAACAACCTATTTGTTCTTGTTAGTACAACTTTTTGGTATAGCATACTTATTCATTAAAACATTACATCAGAAGTTATTCTGGAGTTAAGAGATCAGGAAATTTATGAATCCCTATAACAAGAGTGAGTCGCAAGGACCAATGCAGACATGTTCCTGTTTTTAGTTTTCTACATTTGCCTTATAATCTAGCTGTTTTTACTACTTTTTTCCCATCTTATTTTAATTTGTAAAAAAAAAAAAAGAATAATAAAATCTGTATGCCTCTTTTATAATTGTCTATTGCTGTCACTGTTGTCCATTGTTGTCATCATTCTTTGCTGAAATCAGGTCTCTCTTGTAAATGAGTCCTCGAGGCTGATCAATGGGATTAACCTGTCTAAATAAAGGTTGAATGAATGAATGAGTGTTTAAATAGATGACTAAGCATGTGTTTTATGCTCAAACACTGGATGGTGCCAAAGTAAATCATTCTCAGTTTCTACAAGCACTTTCCTACTTTGCACAATTATGTGTAATTATCGTTATAATGATACGATGCAGGTAAACTCTGAGTAACGCTTTGACACTTCTTTGGGGCTTTTTCTGAACCCAGTAAAGTATCTGTATTTACGTTGTAATCATAATTGTCACTAGGTTTTTCATTTTACTTAAAATGTTGCATAAATGTTATATCAACATTGTGACTATTTGATAGTTGCAGTTATGCTCTCATCAAACAAGAAAGAAAGAAAAAAAACTGTCTTTTATTTGTGCTCTAAGATATAGCTTAAATCAGATAGAACCCTAGTAAATCCACAAAGGCTGAAATACTATGTAAATAAAGCAAAACAATTAAAATAATAATAATTTGTCACTTCTAGCACGTGAATCAAACACGGACATGTGTAAGAGAGAGTTCTCTTGTATCTCTGTATCTTCGCTTCCGCTGAAACCCGTGCTGCATTTACAATATAAATTAATAGTCGTTACTAATATTTCTATGTGAAGTAATCAATAATTCTAAACGCCAAGATGGAATTTTATCATCAGATATACACTTTTAATAGTAATTTTTTTTTTTTTTTTTATATTTACAATTATGTATGCTGTTTTTCTGCTGTAATTTTTGTTACGTAAACAGGAAGTAAATAGTTTCTGAGGTTAGCGAACGCAGCACAGTGAACACAGCCAGCAGCTGCTGTAACCCGGGCTGGTGTCACGTGAAGGAGGGGCAATGAGAGGAGCTGAGCTGGAGGCTTGTGCAGCCATGTTAGTTTCTTCTGTTCACAAACGATGATAGAGGAGAGTCATGGCTTTGTCACTGAGCGGAGACGATGAGGAATATGAGTCAGAGTCTGAACAGGTACACGCTTTTACACTTCATTATTCTCTCCTTTTTTCAGCGTATATTTGGTTTAACATACTTTCAGGGAAAATGGCGTTTATAGACGTTTTTTTTTTTTATTTCCTCTTGCTTCAGGTACCCGCTCCTCTTGTCTGTGAGTGGGTCAGGTCCAAAAGAGAAAGGTGTATTATTATATAAGCGCCTAGCTAAAAGCTCCGTATACACATGAAGCTGTTTATTAAAATTAAATACAGTTCCCTAAACGTCCTACCAAACCGCGTACCCCCCTCAAAATGATGTTGACCACACAACTGACCCACTTCGCTGCCCATCTTTAGACTCCGGTCATAATAATTATCTGTGATCTGAACCCTCTGTCACCAGAAACAAGCTGTAAGACACACGTTGTACTGACCGGAGCTCTGATTTCCTCATACACCAAACCTGCCATGTTGAAAATGTTTTTTTCTTCTTCTTCTTGTGGTTCGGCTCCTCACACTTCCAGAACTTGTCCCACCACTCTGCGCCTTTAAGAAGGCTTCAGGCGAAATGTTGTTGAGGCAGGGACCGGGGAGGGGGATGGGGAGACAGGAACAATGAAGTGGCTCAGCTCCTGGAGCTTGGTGGACCGGTGTGAGGGTCCAAAACTGGGGTTCACAGAGGACACCCCCATAAAAAACAGACAAACATTGTGGTCTCTGTTTGGTGCCAGAGCTGTTAACCTACTTGGTGAGTTAAATTCAACTCACCTGAGCAAAGTTGTTTTCTTTTAAATCTTATATTTGATAGGGTCAGCAGAATAAATGCTGTTTAAAGTACCTTTTTTTTTTTTTGTACAGTACACAAGAATTAGGAAGTGCTGATGTAAGAGCCAGATCACTGCTTACGCAATATTTATACCCACAACAAAGTTCACAATCATAACGTATAATATCATCAGAGCTGATATGTTGGAGCCTTCCCGTCGGACGCGTGGTTGGACATTGTTGAGGACTACTGTATATGAGCAACAGATGATGAGCCGTATGACTTTTGCTCCCACTGAAGTCCACGCTGAAGCTGTCAGAGATCTGAAGTGAAACTCTTTCTGCAACCCATCCCAGATTCCTGTCCAATTATTGCACAGTTACTGTAAAAACAAGCCACCTGATGCTGAGGGGGCTGAGAAAGTGGCCCAAACTTTCCTGTTACGTTTGTTTTTTTTTCTTGTTTTTGTTCAGAATAGGAACAAACACACCTTGCACAGCTGTTGAACTCACCAGATGATGATTTTAGAGCTGACCTCAGCTTGTTTTCTGGAACTGTTTGGCTTTTCAGACACCCGTATTAAACAGCACCACCTTATTGTTTATCTCAAAACACTCACATTCTTGTTTTTGTTAACTCTATTTCCTGTTGTGGATGTTGTTTCAGCACCAGCACTGATGCTTTGCACATTTTGAGTTTGGACATGTGTGTAAGAAAATGATACAGTAACACAAAAATATAGATTTGCAGCAAGTACATTATTACTACCATTATGAAACTAAAACTAGCATGGAATGAAAATGGTAGTTGAATCTATTCCCTTTTTGTGAGGTGTGCACACAAGATGCACACCTCATCATCATACGCTGGTTTAAAATGTTGCTTTAACTTAACATTTGACTCATATCAGGGTTTTCTGTCTTGACTTTACATAGAAGCACGTTTGTGTAGGTCTGATGAGCTCAACTACAACTGTTTCTGTGATGCTGACGGTCACAGCCGCCCCTGCAGCAGCTGCTCGTTCTTCAGCGCTTTCCCTCTACAGTTTACCAGTAGTTGCATGCATCAACAAAAAGCTGTTTGACATAAAATTACTTGAGAGTGAGTCGATTAAACGGAGATACAATTAAAAAGAGTAATCCAGGAAATCATTTGTATCCCTGTTACATCATGAAGGAACAGGTTATAAAATTATTTAAATGCTTTAAAGGTTTATCGTGTTACTAATAATGATTTAGTTTAAAGGTATTTGGTTGCCGTCATCACATTCAGGACAGGTTTCGTCTCTTTGTAAGAAGAACTTCAGTGATGATTGTGGTTGGTCTGGAACGTCCAGTTCTCTTCCATTGTGTTTCAGCTGCGGTGTTCATTTTTCTCCAGAAAAGATATCAAATTCAATTTGTTTTTGTCACTTAAAGCATTACAAATGTAGCATAACGGTATGAATTTGTAGTATGTGAACTGTTCAACAGTAAAACAAGAAAAGTCATTAGAAAGTGAAAATCGTTCTCGGCATAAAACCAAATAATTTCCACTTTCTGTGGGAGTATTTTTATCCATCTCTGGCAGTCTCTCCCCACTATTTTCTAATTTTTTTTTGTTAAAATGTTTGCCACCAGCAAGGCAAAGTATTGCCAAGCTAATCTCTCCTGCACAGATAAGAACGACTGCCATGGTCCGTGATTTGCCTCGTTTTTCTTACACTTTATAATAATGCCATGGCAACAGAGAGGAGACTGAAGAGCAGGAGAAACTGGCAAATGTTTTATTGTTACATGACAGACACATTATTATTATAAACACAGGTTTACTTGTGTTTAATACAGTACTGCTTATCACAGTTCTAATGATGAGTTCAATTTTTGAGAAAAAATGCAAACTATTACATTATTGCAGTTCATTTATTTTAGTGAAACCTTTACTTTCCTCTCTCGTGTGTAAATATAGGCTCTTTTTTTCTGATTTGCTGTTGTTCGCTGATAAAAGACACTGAACATGTCATTAGATGTGGAAGATTAGAGAAGAGATTTTTCACACGTTTTTCCAGATATTTATTATTCTAGCAAACTGATTAATAAATAATAAAATAGCACCTTATTAGTGAGAATAAATTTGTTCAGATTGTCTCTTCACCATTTCAAAGAGCGGAGTGAAAACTCAATTAGTTATCGTAAGTCTTGGGTTTTAGGATAACTATAATCTCACCATATTTTTTTTCTTATTAAGACACAAATTTAAAGTGCATACAATTTGGTGTCATAAACCATTTTCGAATATTTTAATTGCATAGATTTTATTATAACAAAAAGCAGGAAAAACAATTATATTCTGTACAAAGGGGTATATTACTATTTTACACAAATCACATGTTTGTACAACAGCTCTTAATAATAAGTTATTTTAATATCCAACTGTAAAAAAATCTTCCTCACTGTGACAGATTTGTTGTTTCCAAGCACAAACGTATCATTGTCACAATAACTCAGCCAGTTTTACAGCTGATAAGCTAATATGTGCTGTGGTAGTAGCTGAGCATCATCCCTAAAACATACTTTCAGTGCTAACTGCTCAGGGTATTGCATGACATCTGTGCTCCTTAGAATTAACTCTTGGGGTCATCACTGCCTGTTAGCAAAATATCTCAAATCGCTTGATGGATTTTAATGAAACTCCAGATTTTACAGATGTTGAGCTAAAATTTGGTATGGTAATAGCAGACATTTATTCGTAACACCTACTGTAAGCCCCAACAGGTCATAGAAAATATTGCATGAGGTTGCTTATCATTTCCGCCATACACGACGCACCACCGTATAAGTCTCATCAGTCCAAATATGTCTAATAAATAAGGGTGTAACGGTACGCTCAAATCACATTTCTGTTTGGTTCAGTTTCAAGGAGGGCTCGGTTTGATTAATTTTTGGTACAAAAAAGGCCAAAATAAAGACTTACAAAACGTTTATTTTGAAAATATGTCAAGTAAACCATACATTTGTATAAAAATAAATAAAAAAATTCCCTGAAGAGGAAGAAGACTCAGCTGCTATCTGGGTGACATCCTCAGACTGCAAACACAAAGAGGTTTAAAAAAAATTGAGTTAACAAGATGATAATTTTAAATTTAAAAAGTTAATTAGATCACAATAATACAATAACAATATCTCTTCTTGCACGGTCATCATTTCTGTTATGAGATGGTTGAATCTCTCGCTCATCATCATCAGGGCAGGGCTTTAATCTGGTCCAGGGCTTGTTGACAACATCAGTTTTAGCTTTTTTGTAAAGTGCTGCTGCAACTTCTTGGCTGAAGTGTTGACGTGATGGGATGTCGTAGGCAGCCGGGCTCAAGAACTTTAAAGCCGGCGCATCAAAAACAGAATACGGATGTAGATCCAGAGCTTTAAAAACTCCTACAGCTTGTGTGTTATTGCTTTGGACCGATCTGAATTACCTGATAACGGTTGTTTAAATGCTGCTGTTATCGGTCTTTGAACCAAGCTAGAAGCTAGAAGAGACGTTCACATTCGGATGATGTCGTTTCAAGAGCGTGAACAAGCTAGTTAGACGTGTTGCCTGCGGCAGATCCAATCTCCATGAAAATCGTTGACACGCAGCTTTGGATTTGTTCACTTGTCTTTCCAAATTTTTGAGTTTTAACAAGAAAGCTATAATGCTTCCAAACAGGAGACCGCAACGAGGTGAAAGGGTTTCCTGCTAGGCTGCTAATGCTACACGTGCTGCAAGGCTATGCAACAATTAATAGCGCCGTGCTGAAACACGATTAGGAAACTTAGTTCCACGGTGCATAATCTCTCGTTAATAAAATTTAATGAGTGAAAAATAACCAAAACGGTACGCACGTGGACCGAACTAAACATGTTGTACTGAACGGTTCAATATGCCCACATGTACCGTTGCATCACTACTAATAAAGTGGAAAAGATGTAATGCAGAAATGCAGCTGATTTGACGTTTGCTCCAGGAGTTCTGGAGTGAGACGAAGGTGGCTTATTATGGCAAGCCAAGTGTCGCATTAATAGCCACTTTTACCTATTCATGAGACACTTGGCCTGCCATATTGCTCAAAGGCCCTCTAGCAGCTGAAAATGTTAGTGTTCAATATCCTGATGCATGCTCAATAATCCAGGTAGAAAAATCTAAAAAAGTTAAATCTGGTCCTCTGGACATCCAAAAATAGTTAGTTAGTGTTAATAGTTAATAGTTAGTGTTCAATATTTTCCATGTCAGAATGAATGAAATTGTCAGATCTCAGCCAAAAATTGGTTCGTAAATATGGGGAAAAAACATTAATATGTTGCTTTGCCGCAGGGCAAATTTAAGCAAAAAGTTGTGACTTATATGGCGAAAAGTACAATATATCTTTACGGTTTGACCAAAATGACTTTAACTTCGTCATTTCATCTTTGTTCAAAACCCTGGCATGACAGCTGGCAGGTGATGTACATTTCTCCAATGAAAACCAAGCTTTTAATTTTCTTCAGCTAACATTTGTAACCATTTGTCTTCCAGCAGCGAGCAGTCAACCGGCCGAAGCCCAAGATGGGGACGTCATCAGCTGTTAAGTTGCCGTCCAACCGCAGCTCGTCCGGAGCCAGGCGTAGGAGGACGCGCTGCAGGAAGTGTGAAGCATGCCTCCGGACCGAATGTGGAGAGTGTCATTTTTGTAAGGACATGAAGAAGTTTGGTGGACCGGGGCGCATGAAGCAATCCTGCATTATGAGACAGTGCATTGCGGTGAGTCAGAAGTGAGACGAGTGTACGACTGGTGAATATTCATTAGTTGGCGTCATACAATAGAAATCGTCTGTTTTGAGAGCATTTGCTTCCTAAACAAACCATTTCATCTGATGAGTCAACACTTCAGTTGCTGATGAGCCTGGTCGTCTCTGTTTCCATCCTAAAGGAGTAAACGCATCTCAGTATATCAACAACCTTAAATCCCGCTTTTCTTGTTCGTCTCGATCCATGCAGCCCGTCCTGCCCCACACCGCCGTGTGCGTGGTGTGTAAAGAGGCGGGGAAGGAGGACACGCTGGACAACGACGAAGACAAGTTCAACTTCATGCTCATGGAGTGCTCCATCTGCAACGAGATCGTTCACCCCAACTGCCTCAAGGTACAGAGAACCCGCCCGAGATCAGCTGAAGAACAGTTCTCACGGTGGCTTGTGTTGAGTAGAAGCGTGACTCGCACCGTTAAGCTAGGATTTGTGACGTTAACCTCATGTGGAAGTTGTATTGTTTATAAAACACAGAAAACTTAATGACCGCGTCCTGTTTTAGGATTTGACTCTCAGCATCTAAAAGGTGTTGAGGGAAAAAAACAACTATTTCTGTGTTGTGTGAAAGTAGACTTGAATCAGTCTTGGAGACCTTTCACCTTGAAGAACGAAAGTGTAAAACGTCCTGATTAATACTGTCACAACAGAAACATGTTGCTGCTTGTAGGTCTGTGAACAAACCAGTTTATGAATCCTGCCCTAATAGTTTAGCAGGAAACAATAGTAAATTGTAATGACATCACTAGATTTGATCTGTTGGCCTGTGTTGACTATAGCAAAATTATTACTATTGGCAGTTATTACTATTAACAAAATAATGTGTTTACAGTAGTACATATAGTCAGTAGTTAAATAAAAATGTACGTGTCTGGACATCTGAAGAACACTTCCTGTTTTTTTTCCACCGTTTGTGTTTTTCCATGATGGTGAGGCCAGAGCTTTTGGGCTCAAACTCTCAAGATGCTGTTACAACTTTTAACTTGTCACCTTCTGTATTAACTCATGCAGAAGTTTGGATTTTGCATTTGATCAAATGTGCAGAATAAAACCAAGCAGAGATGCTTTAACTGGCTTTACTTCCCCGTTTCATTATTCATAAGGTTAACTGTCTCAGGCTGAACGGTGCTGACCGGACTGAACACGTCACAGCTGCTGCTTTCACTTCCCCTTGTTTGTGTTAAAACACGCTGTGCGTTGGTGAAAACTTGCTGTTTTCAGTGAAAACTTTCTGCCTTTTCCCCGTTCCATCAGGTCAGCGACGCCTCAGGAGTGGTGAACGATGAACTTCCTAACTGCTGGGAGTGTCCAAAATGCAACCACGCTGGGAAAAGTGGGAAAGTGAGTACAAATATGAATACTTGAGAGGTTTTAGATCTGGTTCCAGCTTCTGGATTATGACTTGAGTTTTGACATTACAGGTCCTTCTCAAAAAATTAGCATATTGTGATAAAGGTCATTATTTTCCATAATGTAA